AGTCAGAGTTTTTCCTCCCCATTGGGTGGTAGGTATTACTTTGATGGGACACAAGAAGGGATAAGTGGGCAGGAAAATTTGAATGAGATGAATTAGCAACAGGTTTTGTATCAGTGGAAACCAAAGAAGATTTAACAGAATTGATAATTTGATCAATTGGTTGATTTTCTGACTGAGTGACTTTATATTGTAGGATAGACTTTCAAGTCCAGGTGGTAAATTAGTTTTGGTCATATCCACCCAAGCAGGCAACCACTGATTACAGAGAGGAAGGTACTGAATCCCATCTGGGACCTAGAAAACCTATAATCAAGACATGATTAAAAGATTAAAGAAAGTAATTAATCAATTCAATTGACAACCAGGACAAATTAGGCCTGAGAGGATCAATGGTCCCATTGCCAACAGGGTACTTGGGGGGAAGGAGAACCACCATTTTTTACCTAAATTGTAACAATTGGGGCAATTTGATGAGCAAAATGCAAAGGAATTTAGTGAGATGACTCACATGAAGAAATGTATTTGAGAAGATTTACTAGGGAGTTCACTTAGCAGCCAATCCTTTGCTGTTCCTGAACAAGGTTTGTTTGCTGATGCACAAACTTATTGAAATTTAGTTGTGGGATTTTGACTCCAATGGTGAGCCTCCCACTAAACTATTTTGCTTTCCCATAAACCTTAAAATCACCATTATAACAAAGTTTGAGTGCTGTTGGACAACATCAGCAGTACGTGAACTGCCCTGCTGGATTTATATTTTAATTTGAGGGCAGAATGTTAAAACAATTTGTTTTTGGATCTGTGAGTAAATCAAGTAGCGAATAAGATTCAAAAAGAAACTCTGCAGTTGAGGCCTAGAGTAAAGTGAAGGGGTGTAAGGAAGCTTGATGGAAATGGAGCTGGGGAAATTTCATAATCCACAAACCTGACAGGGTCAGTAACTACTGAAAATCTTAGTTTTCAAGAGAAGAGGACAAGCCCTGTCTTCTTGTAGGGACTCCAAATAAAAAGCTTAATTAAGGATAGATCATCTGATTTATCAATTGCTTGGAAGCAATTCACATATTCCCAAAATGTCCCTTTTCATGCATGGATTTCTTCCTAAAAAACGAGTTTATATATCTGGAACATTCACTGCCAAAGGGGTTGTACCAGTTACCCCTGCACTAAGGATCACTGCAGTTGACCAATATATATAAGATTGGTCTTCACCATGGGTGGTAAATTTTGGATGTACCACCTGTGTTCCAGAGCTTCAACTTGCCACCTGAGATCAGGCAGGTGTGCCACTGAAAAATTGTAAACCTGCAATGAGGATTGGGTGAGCAAGGGATATTAGTATGTGAAAGGGTTGTGAATATTGAGGTTTCTCCAGCTGGAATCTGGATGCACTGTGAAAAAAAATCTGAAGGAACTGCTGTCAGTGGAAATTTGGAAACTCTCTTCAAAGCTGGGTTGTTATTCAGATGTTAGAGCATCTGCATTGGTTGGCTATTTCCGCTTGAGCTAAGTACTTTAGCCACCAATGTCTACCACACCGGGTTAAGCTAACGTTGAGCTAACCTGGCTATCAGCTAGATTTTCAGCTAACCCTTGCTACATGTAGCAATGGTTAGCTTTTGAGCTAGCTAAAAGAACACTTCAGTTTGGCACCCTCGAGCAAAAATTACACACTTCAACTTCAAGCTACACCATCTCAAGCCACACCAATGCTGACAGGTGGTTGCTATTGTAGTTTAACTATAGCTTTGAGTCAAAACTTGCTTGGTTTTAGCTCAACCAATGCAGATGCTCTTACTTAACTATTACCTCAGCCATACTTCAATACAAAGTCACTCTGCACCTTGCACAATTACTGTGCAGAAATTCTTATCATGGAATAGTTTACAGTATGTATGGCAGAAGTTACATTGGGAGTAACCTGTATGTCAGCTGCCACCAGTTTAGTGAGATTATTTCATAGTGATGGCCCAATGGGTGGTTTCAAAGTTGACTATCAAGCAACATTCTACCCAGATGAGCTTCTGGTTTCATGTAGAATTCTGTTTGAAAATAAAATTTGAATCACACTATTATATTGACCATCTCTGGTCAACGTTGTCACATAAGTGTTGTAGCCAATACAACCCCTTTTGCAGTGATTAAATTCTGTATGGGCCAGGAGTGGAAAGAAGGGAAAAAAATAGAAGACTAGGGAAACACTGGATGCACCACTTGCAGAAAGCCCTACTTTAGATGAGTTCTGCTCAGGGCAGAAAATTCCCCTAACAAAATGAAATATTTCTAACTGCAATGAAAATTATGTAATAGCAATTCATGAAATCCATTTCTTTAATGATCAAGACAGGTGTGATACAAATAAATTCAATACCAAGACTCTAATTCTGAAACTTTGTGTAGCAACTGTGGCACCTACATACATGCAGCATCTGGGTCTTGCTTCTGCACACAGTGTTGTCTGACAAGTCAGATGTGGACTTACTTCACCTACTGGCACAGTCCAATCATCATGGTGATGATGTAGGCTTCACCAATACCAATCTTTCTGCATGGCCACCTAGCAGCAATTATGATTGCAGAAAATTACTGACATGAAGGCCTAAGAGTGTTGGAATTTCGCAGTCATGACATCTCAAGTCTTCTTTCTTCTCCCCTTGTGTCACTCCTCTCACCTGTCACTCTCTTTTTTCTCTCTAGTTGCATATTCATTTCTCCTTCTGTCCCACAATCTGGCCCCTCTCAGTTGTAGTAGATAAATGGAATCCTGAAGTTGGAAATATAAAATCATCTGCTCTCTGCACGCTTTTCCCTGAGGTCTCTACAGAATACAACCTCTTGTAGCGTGAGCGTTTTTCCGCCACACACGCTAGCAGCTCTAGCCCCTCTTTGGGCCTTTTGACCTCGAGTTTTCCTCTTGAGCCTTTTGTCTCAGGACTTGTTTCCGGTCACTTTCCTTCCCTTCTTCCTGTCTCTTTGCCCTAAAATTCAACAAAGAGCATCAACCATTTTCTCTGTAAGACTAGGCTTGGTAAGGCCAACTTACACAGCTTTACCATGTTTTTTTGACCCCCGTGGCTTCCTTAGGGCTCTGTAACTTGGCCAACATTTACAAGAGGGCTTCAAAAATCTTCAATGCCCATGGCCCACTTCAGATCTCATATTGTCGGACAAAAACTTTTGGTCTCAGGCTGTATTGAAGACACTGGCTCCCCAGGGGCAGATGGCATGCTGGCTTGTTCATTGACCACTCCTGCTTATTGCCTTGTCATGTAGGGAATTATTGGGATTGGTGCACTCTCAGTTCGGGATCTTGAAAGTATAGGGAAGTCAATGATGATCTGCCGAATTCTGCTCATAAACTTTCCCTTCTCAAGTTTTACATGCACGGGTCAATTTCCAACAATGATTGACTATGCAGGATTCAATTTTTGATGTGTATCTGATATAACTTCGGTTACATTGCACTCATGGTGAATACCCGGTCATCCCTCCACTCCAAACCGAGGACCTAAGTGCAGAGGGTCAAGCTGAAAATTTAGAAAAAAAAAACAATCACACAAACAAGCTGTTCCAAGCCAGGCGGCCTTGGGAAACCGGAGAAACCAAAGTTTTCATGGCAATCTGCTCGAGCCCATGCGAAGGCCGGTTACCTCGGAGGCAATCAAGATGGTTTTGGTTGACTTATATAAGACTGATTGGTGGAAATTGAGAGGAACTGGAACGAGCTGTCAACGTTACACTGAAGCTCCAGTGCGATTTGAATTCAAGGTGAAGAAGAGTACAATATGTTTTTCGGCCAATGAGAAAGAAGAAGAAAAAAAAAACAATCAAGATTTCTCATAAGTTGGTTTTTCCATCTTCTGTTCAGCTTCATGTCGAGCCCAAGTCGTGATCCTATAGAAGGACATCGACGCCGTCAACGAGAAGAGAAGGCAGGACCAGTCAGTAACGATGAGAATGGAAGAATGAGAAGATGGAAAGGGGGGGGGGGGGCGGGGGAACTTAACGATCGATCAGGCTTGTAGATTTGCATGATGATCCCCACGAAGGTGGTGCCCCAGAAGCCGATATACCAAATCAACTCCCAATCTTCTCGGACTCTCTTCTGGCCCGGTTTCAATGGCTTTTCCCCGAACAGCCAGCCCGACGGTTGATCTAAGGGAAGCCATAAATGTCGTCGGTTCGCCAAGAATCAGTAAATCGAATTCTTCCTCTTCTTGCACAATAAGAGACTTGAGAAGGTGCGTCAACTGAACTGTAATGAGGTTCGCCCGAGCCGAACCTCACCGACGACGCCAATGATCCGCTGACATTTTGTTGCAGGAGAGAGGTTCGATGGAGGCGAGGATGAGAAGCGAGGCGACTGAGAGAGGTCGATTGTTGGGTTAGTTTGTTGAAGGCCCGAGGGATGTGGTGAGAAGCCATGATTTGAACCAGGATGTATTTCAGAGTCGAGTGGTGGTGTTTTCGGCTGTCCCTGCGATCGAGTGTCGAGTGTCGAGTTCCGTTCGAATTCGAAAGGGGTTCTTTCAGAGAGACCCTCTTAACTCTTTGGTGCCCCCAGTTAGGCCCCCGCAGAGCCCTTTCCAGGGCTTGAGTTAATTTAGTCACTCGGCCTGGACTCGGTGAACATGCCACCGGCCCAAAGGGGGTTGCCGGTTAACTTGACTCGTCACGGATGTGACGTCAAGCTGATCAAGCTCAACCCAACCCGTCTTTGGCCCTCATTTGTTAGCAGTCTTGAACACTTTGAGAGCTCGGTTGTTCGTGTCATGGGCAGCTATATGTATCGGCCGCCTTTGATCGGTGGCACTGGAACTGGGATTAGAATGAGTCGGTCAAAAAAAGTTGATCACCTGTCGGTGTGAACTGCTGGAGGGATTCCCTCAAGATGGACATGATTTTTTGTTCTAATCATACTCTGCATGACCATTCACATCAGAATCTTTTAGAAGTTTCTCTTCATGCTGCCTGTTTTTACCCTCACCTTGGAAAAATTGGAGAGAACCATTGTGTTGACCTGAAATTGTTGGAATGTTGCAATCTGACAGGAATTTATATACTTGTGCATGTTTGGATAAGTATATGTGAGATTGATGTATTACAGGTAGAAAAAAAATCCAGGTTAGTGGCTGTTGGGAGACAATTAAGCTAATGCGGCCCAAAAATTCCGCAACCCGATAAAGTGGATATAGATGGATATGGATTTGTCTTGGTGATGAATGAATAAGTATTTAATAAAACAATCCGGTAAAATTAAGATCAGAATGAAGGAAAAACAACAGATGATACACAACTGGAGTGATTAACGATTATGTTCGACACATGCTTGCTTTTTACTTTTCCATTCCCACACGTTTATGAGTCCAATAAATGATAGAAAATGAGAAAAGTTAACAAAAGCCGAAGTACGTTTGGGAGTGAATGGGTTAATTTGAGGAACTCATGTGATGAAAAGGAGAGATCGCTAATGTTCTGAGCGGGCAAGGGTTTGATAATCCCTTTTTTAATATTATTGTTTGCATCTTGGCTGGGGAGGTAATGAGCTGCAAAATGGAAGGAGGAAGGGAAAAAGCATCTCGCGAAATGAAAAAGACTTGTCCTTGGATCCCTTTGTCGTGTATTACGGTTTGATTCGATTGCAGAGCGGGAGATGTGCCAAGTGAACCAAGAGCTCTAAACGACTTGAGATCTTCTGCCCCTTATACAGCCCTGGATCAAGCAAACGGAAAGCAGAAAAGAATAAGTCAGTTGATGATAAAAGGATTTGTATATTGAGGAAATCGAGAATGAGAGAAGGACTGACGCCTAGATAACCGAAGGAGGCAAAGAGCAAGAGACCATCGATTGCCCACAACAGCCAGATTGCATTGCCATAAGAGGCGCTCATGCCAATAGTGTCGCGGCTGAGTTGGTGCTTGAGGATACCGGCGATAGCGGTCCAGATGACAGTGCCGATAGTGTTACTGATGAAGGCAAGGAGGCTGATGACGGAGAGATTGAGTGAGCCCAGTCTGCCGGGACCGCGGGCCTGGATGAGCGAGAAGAGTAGGATGAGCGCGACGAGACAGGCGGCGATGAACAGGAAGTAGAAACCAATGCGACTCCAGACTCCGAAGTAGTTGTCGGTGTTGTACTGATCGTTGAATAGATTTGTTGCGCGGCTTCTCAACCCGTTTGGCACATCCTCCAAGATTGCCGCCGTCGGTCGAACCTGTAAGCCCAAGCGTTCTCCGTGCAGTACTGTGGGTCCGAGCGGCCAGTATAACCGGCACAGCGATCTGGAAGCAAACCACCGCGCAGATTAGCCACAAAAGCCCATTCAACACATCCTTCATTCGCGATTTAGGGGGAATCCTTAAGCTACTCCACAGACCTCACGTGTCTTAATATCGTCAACCATCTCTAATTATGGGTTGGGTGACTGGCGCATTAGGGTCAACACACCCTGAACGGGCTTGGTTCCGGAGTTCGAGTGGAGTGCGTCTAAGTCTTAAGTTGTTGTCTCGACGAACCTGATGTGTCGAGGGACGATCTACATAAGAATTGATCGAGTTAATGTGTATGAAATTGTACAGGGCAAGAGTCCCCACAGTCTCAGTTATCGAGGCAAACCAATCTGCCGGGGGATTGCAGTGCGAAAAAAAAAAAACAGATGGGTGGGTCGATCGATGACCACGATGTACTCACCTGGTCGAGTGTGAAGTTGGCGATTCCAACGAAAATGAACAAGATGGCAGCCACGAAGGCTAGACCACCACCAGCGGAAGCAACTGGGTTAGCCATGGTGATTGTGAGAGCACTGGTGGATCGATGGGTTTGTCTGAAGTCCTGCGGTTGTAACTCCTTTCTTGTGAGTTTTACTTAAAACCAAAGCTTCGCTGTTGGCGTCGGAAGGTGTGCTTTGTTTTCAAGGTTCGGATTATAGCAGTTGGGAGGATTGCTCGGAGCTGATGAAGTCGACGGTCAACAGGCTCCTGGATGGATTTTTGAGCAATCGAAGGCTGACTGCTGCTTTGGATCGGTTTTAGGTTGGTTTTTTTTCGAGTTTTGAGGTATGCTGGATGATGAGATGCAGCTGGACAATGGGTTTTGTTGTCTGATTATGTATCGGCAACGGAGGGGGAGGGGAGGGGAGAGTTTTATAAATAAAAAGGATGTGTTGTTATGTATCAGATAATGGTTCGGGATAGGGAAAGGCAAGTAGGGATGAGCCAGGGGTAGAGGAGACTAAGGACGAAGTGAGTCTTATGTCCCGAAAAAGGGAGTTTTTAAAGTTGTTCTTTTCGGATCTCGATGCTTTCGAATTAGATAATCTTGTATGGCTTCGAAGTGCACAGAGGCGCTGAAATGTTTGGCTTGTTTACCTATCAGCTTTGTTCGGTTTGGGTTTGCGGATTATTTGAATTTACAATCCCTTACATATATAAATAAATATGGGTTGTTTGTTTTTGTTTGCACGTATTATTTATTTTTGTATATCAAGTGACTCTTGTACTGGCAGTTACGAAATCTTGGCGACTGGAGACTGAGGAATAGGATGGCCGATGGCAGTGCTGATTTGGCTGATCGCGATTTGACAGGACTTGATCGGAAAGACAGAGGCAAGTTGAGCACTGGCAATGTTCGAAAGGAGTGCTTGCAAGGAAGCAGGAATTTGTTGACGGGGCCGCAATCACAATGGAGATTTATCACTCCCGAGGTCTCCTGTCTTCTAATTCTCAAGTATCTGTTCTTCCTTCACAGCGTCACCAACATGTACCTACTGTGCTGCAAGAGGAGGCAGCCTGGGTCGGGAGAAATTGAGTGATGAAGCTCTTCGATACTGTTGAACCCTTTCGCAAGGATGTATGTAGAGCATCACTCAAACCAGATGTGCGAAATCCTTCGAGAAGCTTTACATAAATTATTTGACTTTTCCAGTAGCAAATCGTCATGGGGCTACCTCTTAACTAAAATGTAGCAGGAACTCTTGGGGGTTTCCTTTTCCATCCTCCCTCATAACTCGAATCGTTTCAAGGCCCTACCTCAAAAGATGACCGTATACACATTCAGTCAAGAGTCTGGCTAGTCGGTCTTGCTGCAAAGGTCCGACTCCAAACTTCCATTTATGTTGTACAATCAAACCCTTCCCGGTGCTCGAAAGACAGCTATTTGCGAAGATCATCGCATCGATATTCCCGAGTCGCGTCCTGCCAATTTACCACCCTACAAACACTGGCAACAATTACATCATACTCCGTCCTCCGATTCAATACATCATCTTGAACGAAAGCTTCAGTATACCCAGAATACTGGCAATTGTATTAGTAACACTCGGAGGTAGACATGACAATTTGGCCGAGTGGTTAAGGCGATTGACTCGAATCTATTCAAGGTCGTTATCAATTGGGATTTCCCGCGCAGGTTCAAATCCTGCAGTTGTCGCTTATTTAACATGATGCTGAGGCTGTGATCCAATCTCATTTGTGGAGCAGGAGGAGGATCCATTGGTTCTTGGGTGCTTTTTGCCTGGCACAGGCAAGATTAATGCATGCTTGGGGAGTTCCAAGGGACCTTTTGCTTGGCATTGCTGTGTTCTCACAGGCAAGATTGATGAATTGGAGAGCTCTTGTTACACTTCTGAGTACAGTACAACCTGTCTGCAAGGCTCCATGTTTTCCCACATTTTCTTGTGCCTCATCTGACTCTCTGAGGTGAGACTTTTGAAGTAGGAAATCTCTTTCAATGTGGCCACAATTAGTGGGGTTCATGATTGACAGCTCTCATAAAACTGTTCATCCCAAACTAGCAGCCACATGGCCTGCTGGGAAGCTCAAAAACAGTTAAAAGCACACTTGCAACAAGCAAAATCTGACATCCAAGTTGCAAACAAACATGACAAAAAATTAGACAAATGAGCATGGAAAAAAACTCAATCATAAACCCTGATGATTGCTGTTCTGAAAGGCTCCAATTGTGAGCCACTTGACTCCTCTTAGCAGTAAAACAATATGGTTCCTTCTGTCAAATATTATTGAGCAAGGAAGTTATGAGATTCTTTTTTCTTGCATTTTGAGTGAAAGTAGTGTAGGAAAGACAACACAAAAGGGGTTGCATCAGTTGCAACCCTCTGCAGTAAGGTGGGCCAGAGGCCACTAATGTCTCAATGGTCTTCAAGACCAATTTAATATTGGTGGGCCTACCAATACATTACAACAAAAGGACAATGTATTGGGGGGGAAGGTGGCAGCTCATTGCTACAAGACCATGTCAACCAGGATAGATTCTATCAACAGTGGGCCGCTACGCTACGCTACACTATTTGACCACTAACTGTTAGTGTAGTGGCCTTTTTTCCCCGGAAATTCTGTAGTGTTAGCTCACACTAAACCCCGCTGAGCTAACTGTTAGCATAGTGTAAACAATTTCTCTGAATTTTTTTTGTTAGTGTTAGCTCAAATAATC